AAAAAAATCAAAGAAAAACCCAAAATTAGGTTGTTGCATGGTTTTAGAGCATCAATATACAAAGTTTTATTGAAATGTGATGATTAGTAGTTGAAGTATCAGTAGAAAAGATGAAAATTGATTAGTTATTTTGCAAATTAGGTGATTAATATGCACAAATTGTTATCAAAACTAATCAGGTCTGCACATTGTCCCTGAGCACCTATGTGCCAAGTTTTATTAAAATCTGACCAGAGGTTTTCAAAATATCTAAGGGACTTACATACAGGTACACACAGGCAGTCAAAAAGCACAATTTTAACTTACCGGTAATTTTTCATTAAGTCCCAACATTTTCATAATTAGACCAGATTCCTCTGTCCGGAAATGATACGTCAGTTGTGCAACATCGGCAGCATACATCATTTCAGATAAATTGTGTTCTAAAATCGTCACGAAGAAATCAAACAAAACCAGCGTCCTTGGAGACACATTTACGAGAGGTGTGATTAGGTGGAAGTAAATGTAACCTGCAAGAAAATTCTGAATATTAAGTTTATATTATTGGAACTGCCTTCATATGTTAGGACAGTGTTGAAATATTAACAGTGTTAATTCTGATGTTAACATAGTGATCACAAGTTAACATAGTGTATGGTGATATACACTAGTGACAACATGTTAACATAGTGTTTAGATGTTAACAGTGTTTGTATGGTAATAAACCCCAATGCTGATATGTTAACATAATGTTCAGATGTTAACTCAATGTTAACCAATGTTTTAGACAGCAACAATTATTACAATTAAAAAAAAGATAAATGTTGTGTTATCAGTAAAATAAAAAAAGAAAACAAGAACAGTTCATCTAGTAATATATACATGAATAACACTATACAGTAAACATTCTACCTTTAGGCACTTTGAACTTTGTATCCCGTTTATACCACAGTCTACCATGAGGTGTGTCCGTTATCTTAGTTGGATAAACCGTGTCATCAATGTCGGCATCTTTCAACGTGAAATCCGTAGCTATTGAATAAATGAACAAGCTACAATTTACTATCCTTGATCAATATCTGTGTTACAATTCTTTTAAATTCTTTAATTCAAAAATGTATTCAGCTTTAATTTTGTCAGAAGCAATCAGACCAGGAAAGAATGTGAAATATTACCATGGTAACGATGTGAATCAAGTGATAAATGAGTTTACCTATAAACTTATTAGGAGATGGTAAGTGCAATCTTGCATCAATTTCTTGATCTATAATAATTAAAAAAAAAAGAAATTTTATAATAACATGCAACAAATTTTTACGAGTAAATTTGATACACGTTGAAAAATATCTACTTTCGTATGTAACCAATGTGTAGCCATGGTGGGGAAAGTTTTTCAAATCTGTCCTGACTGGTCGTGTAATGGTTGTTACATCAAGCTCATTTCCGGTAGACCAGAGGTCAAATTCTATAATGGTTAAAACACTAAAAATGCCAACCATCGGTAAGTGTGCCACAGATACACATTGCAATCTTTGTATGCTGTTGTAGTGGTGCTAAATCATGTGATAGGTTCTTTATCATATAACATACAAGCACATCTCCAATACACATGCAAAACAAATATCACATTGACTGTATTCTAAATCATTGAAATATTTAATTGCATACACCACTAATAAATGCAGTGTGCAAATGGTGCCACTTATGTGAGACAAATGTTTACACATGATAACAAGCAACGTAACAAAAACATTGTGGTAGCAAAGTCGAGCAACGCACAACCATAAGACAAAACTGTCTATTCAACTCCATCAAAAAAATTGTTCACAAAAATAATGTACACCTCAAATATCAAAGCAATCATGTTGGTGGTGTTCAAGAAGAATTTGAAAATATCATTTTTTACCAAAAATGACAAAAATATTCTGCAAAAATGGAAAATTGAAGATATCGTCAGGAAATCTGACATAAGCCTATTCAATTGAAGATAATGTCACGAAATGAACAAACCTGACAGAGGTTTTCCCAAGGTACCGGTACCTACATACTAAGTATAAAAGCAATTGAGCTGGTAGTTTTTAAGAAGGAGATGCAAACGTAATTGACAACGAACGATGACAGACAATCACCTACAGAAAAGCTCTGCTCTGTCATCTATGATGACAGTGGGATAGAAAGTATTTTATAATACCAATGGTTAGTTGCTTCCTTTCCACGACTTACTATGCCATGTGTGTTTCCAGTCTTCAGCAATATTTTCGCTAGTAAACGCTGTTTGATACCACGGCTCTATTTCATCACAGTGACCATCATGTTTCTTTGATAACAACAAGATATTGACAGTGTCTGCTGTCAGCATGTCGGTCACTTCACTGATTACCTGTAGTGAAAAGAAAGAAGATTAGGATTAAAGCATTTCATCCCCTCTGGCTTTTACAACAAAATTGTTCCCCATTCAATGATAACTTTGAAATAAAAAAGTAAAAATATGGAAATACTTCTTGATGTCAAATTTTTAATTTTGCTTATTATCATTTGTGAGTAAATGTTGCACAGAGACAGTGGTGTGTGTCTTAGCAATGTAGAATTAGTTCTATTGCTTTACTGATCACCAGTACATGTTGCAAAGTGATTGTAGAACCAGATCGCTGACCGATACAGTTCAAGTCTTGTCCTGGGTTGAACACAGGATGGACTCAATCAGCAGCATCCAACGTTAGAAACTAATGCTTACCTCAGCATTGTATTCAAACATCAATTTATCTCCAGTCAGATAGTCTTCTTTGGGGTACAGTTGCATATTCTCTACAATGCTCTCTACATAGTCCACAGCATCCATCTACATTTACAACGAATGCATGAATGCTGTAGCTAACATACAGTGTATTTGCTACGAAACAGTGTTCATCATTACTTGGTTTGTTAATGCATTTATTTACAACAGATTAAAATACTTTGGTTGAGATTCAATAAGGAAGTTAAGAGAGGTACAAACGAGGCAAAACATTTGCATATCAATGTATGTAATTTGCATACCAAATAGGTAATTTGCATATCACGGTGTGTATTTGCATGACATATCAAATCAAATCATTAACTTTTTTACCCACCCCAATTAGTTCAAAGTGTGTGCTCTCTATTTTAAGGATGCTATAATATAGGTTTTTGGTATAGATTGTCCAAACCGATTTTTTCATATAAAATATATTGATGGAGAGTTTATTTCACACACGATGTGAAATGAACAAGAAATCCTTCTGTGACACCGTATTTTCTTTATTAGAAGCAAATAATAGCGCATATAAACTAAAAAGTGAATTAGTTGAATCATTACCACTTATCTTATGGTAGGTCTCAATAGACACTGACTCTGAGATAAAAAAAAAAAACTCACCTGTTCTTGAAACCGAAAATCATTGTCTTCAATTTTTTTTATTTCGCTGTAAATCCTGCAATAAACAAAAAGATGATTATTATTTGAAATCTGCATTTGGTTATATTGTCAATTGTTATTAGCCACTATTCTCATATTTTATGCTAATATATTTACATGGCTTAATTGATCACAGCTAAACGCAAACAAAACATAGTGTGCCTGAATTGCTTACAGACAAGTAATAAAGTATATATTGCACTCGAACATCAAAAATAAAACCACAACACTAAAACTTGTAATGGTTACAAAACAGACACTAACTGAGTTATAGTTTTCAGTTGCTAGGTTACCAATGCAATTGACAGGGCTTCAATCTCACAATTAAGTAAATGTGGGTTTAATACATATGTAGTTTCAGTTGATCACTAAAAAAGTGACAATATGTAACAAATTAATATAGTCTGAATGAGCAATTTGCTGATATATAAAAAAAAACAGACATAATTTACTAATTAATATTTACCTTTCTTGAGGTCCCACTTTTTGTAACATTGCAATGTATTGAAATATTATTGATAAAACCTAAAAGTTGG